CAATAATTTATTTTAACCCCTATTGCTAACAAAATCAATAGCTAAGTTAAGGTAGTGTTTGATAAAACTGAAGTCTAAGGTAGTGTTTGGTAACTGAAAGTTTTCATTTTTTTTTTTGTTATTTAATTTTTTGGGGAAAAAAATGAAATATGTTTGGTGAATGTTTTTAATTTTTTTTTACTGCTATGTTTTAAAAACAATGACATAATTTGGAAACATCCAAAATGATGTTTTTGAAAGCATCCAAAAAACAAAACAAAGTGGAAGTTTCCTCACCCAATTAATGAGGTCTCGGCTTCAAACCCTCTTTACAACAACACATTCATATTTTTTCCTTACACTATAAAAGGGCATGAACAGCTGACTCCTCCATCATTTCTACTCGCTAGTCATCGCAAATAATCGCTAGGTCGTCGTCTGTACTCACTGGTTTGTTGCCTCTGCTCACTGGTCGTCGCCTCCGTTGNACTGTATTATTTCAGATCTAAGGTTTATTTTTGTAGATCTAACTTTATATTTGAGGGCCTTTCTAGATAATTTACTCGAAAAGAAGCAATGTTATCTTTTTCCATCCTCACTCTAACCCCACAGACCTATCTCTCCACTTCTTGTAAATATTTTTAATAAACAAAGATAAGAGAGAGAGAGAGAGAGAGAGAGAGGGGGAAGTACAATGGCAATGAACACTACAAAAAGAAAAGAAAACTCAAAACTTAATCAATTTATCACATTTAATACCTCGCCCTATGTAATTAGACAATAATTATTATATAAATAACAAAATATTCATGGCTAATCAAGGACCTATGTTAAAATTAGAAAATACTAATAGTGAAATCGATGGATAATGGTCATTATCTTTAGTTTATCATCCACAACTAATATCAAGACAAGACAATTAATTACTATATTCTGTTGTCCACTTTTTTCAGAAATGAGAATATTTAACTCATAAGATACCCAACCAAAAAAAAAACTTTAAATTGCAAGACTTTAAAAATCTCAAACACACATAAAATGCAAAATGAATACAAATTCATCATAAATTGATTCTCAAGACTAATAGAATACAAGACTTTAAATATCGTAGAAAGTCATGGCATTGTTAAGCAGACCAAAGTAGTTCACCACTCAAAGACAAGTTGAGACACTCACTTTGCAAGTAAATAAAAAAAAAATACTTACTTCGCATTACATCTAAAATAAAAACAAGGGTGAAAAGAGAAGACGAATATGAAAAAGGTCATCTGCTATCGACAAAATTACAAAGCCCATGTAGGGAAGAAGAAGATGATGAAAAAGTAAAAAAATAATGTCATATGCTGAAAATCATGAAAAATCATCTTAAAATTTAAAGACAGAAAGTGACCACTAACAAGCAACATTGAAGGCATATCAGTAAGGGACATACTTGAAATCATTCCCCTTGTAGCTCATAGTAACTGTAGTTTTTTTTTCCAATAGGTGACACACATTGCGACCTTTACCAAGGATTGTCAATTCTAAAAAGTCCTCTTCCACAATGAGCACAATGATTAGTGTGTGGGCATGTATAAGTAACTTTTTGTGATAAAGAAAAAGTATATACTATAGCATTTTTCCTCTTCAGAAGACATTCCCCTTGCTAACACTATATAGGACACTGTAGCTTTGTCTAAGAACAAAAAATAATCATATATTTGTAGAGAAAATCTAAATTAGTGTATTGCCTTTGCCTTTACCTCAGTTCATCATACTTACCCGATAAAATAGTAGAATTAAGTTCAATTAATCCACTATTTAGAAAAATGGATAAAATAGTAATTAAGTTTAATTAATCAACTATTTAGAAAAATAGATAAAACAAAACACATGTGCTTCTTCATCTAGTTAACAAATTAAAAAGAAGCACATCGCATATGAAGCCGAGAATGTAACTATTTGGAAATCTTGACATTCACCTTGGAGCATGTGTCTAGGTATACACACCTTGCATGCTATAAATTTATTTGTAATACAATTTGAACTATATCAAATAGGCTTAAGATACTTGTTCTCGTTGGTCAATATTTGCAAATTTCGAATAGAAAATTCTAAAAATTGACGCATCTAAATTCACAATTCAAGGATTAATGCAAGGTACAAAATATTTGTGATGGTCTAATTATAGATATTTTGAATGTATTCAAATGCCAGGTGAGAATTAATCAAGCATTTGGTAAATTATATAACGCATACTCGAGTTGCTACATACTAAAAAATAATCAAATTTGATTGAATTAATAAACTTGAATATGACAAGTTATCAAAAGATAGAATGTATATTAATGGAAGAAACAAAATACAAAGATACAAATTGACAATAAGTAAAAGAAAAGTCACATGTCCAGATATTAATGATCATGCAACTGACTTTTACTCAAAAGGCATTATTTTAAATTGAAAAACCACCCCTCTAAGAGATGAAATAAAATTTTGATCAATAACATTATGCATTTGACAATAATTTTATACAATTTTTTTCTCCTTGTCACTCTAAATCTTATCACATAGATTGTGTAGACGCTTCAATTTAGCCAGTATAATCTTTGAAGACAAATTGTAAATTTTCAATTCTAGGTAGAAAATTAGATAATTAAAACTATAATGGCAGAAAAAATGATGGTGGAGAAATATAGCAAGAGAAATATATTTCAGTTGATCAATCTAACTCCGATAATTTTATAGTCATACATGCCCTAACTGTACTGGGAACAAATATACAAGAAAAGAACTGCACTTTTTTCATGCTATTCAAGACAAAATCAATAGCGTTGATCTAGATCCACATCATTCCATGATACTGTACCAAGAGGCATTACAACTTTCTTAATTAAGCTACTAGAAAGAAATATCAATTGCATCTTCTCTAAACAATCACACAAAAAAGTAGCTTAATAGTTGAAGCATTCATGAGGTTATTGAGCAATGAATAAATAGAAAAATCCACTAACGTCAAGCTTGCATGGCAAAGATGGTTGAAGCTAGAGCATTACTTCCAGTAAAAGAAGGTTCATTTTATTCCAGCTCTTAACAAACATGTGAAGAACAGTCGGAAAAGCTGCTATGACAACAAATTAGAGCCACAAATCTTGGTTGTAGAATAACAACTAATTCTAAACAATCAAGAGAAAGAGATTAGGAGAGCGACAAATGGTAAAACAGATTTTTCAAAACGCAAGCCAAATTAGAGAGAGAAAGAGGGACGTCTAGATGGGTACCTGAAAAGTGATTTGGATAGTCATTTGGAATATGGAGGGAGACGAAAGAAAAAGATTTAGTCATCAATACAATTAATTATTGAACTAGTAAGGAATATGAAGAGAAAACAAATAAGAGTTTCAAAAATCAACACAATTATTAATAATTAAATAGGTAAATGGGCAAAAATATTAGCACCAAGACAATTACGGTAAGTAGGTAAATAAAAAGCATCAGTGACAAGACTGACTTTAAATGGTGGAGAAAAGCTAAAAAAGAAAATCAAAAGTTTTGAACAATATCTATAATTTACAGTAGTAGAGGTTGAGATATAGATATAACTATACATGTGGAAATGAAAGTATATAAAGGGTCATTTGCATATTTAATTAATATTAAATAATTAAATACATGAGGATTTATGTGTTTTTCATCTTTTTGACGAGGATATAATAGTTAGTCAAAAGTTTTTCACTTTGTTGTCAGTTATTAATAGTATACATATAGATATAGATATAAATAGATAGTGATGCATTAGACTTCTCATAGTAATTCACTATTGCATATGAAAAATGGAGAAAAGATAAACTCGTTAGAAGAAATATCAAGAAACAATTAGTGTAAATCATATCTAGTGCTTGGAAATAAATTTAGATCTTTATGACTAGCGGGAGATAAGGTCGGATAAAAGGCCATTCAAATTCGTTTACTTATTAAATGAATTGGGCTCAAACTCTATTTTAAAATCGGACACACTTTGTAAACAAATGAGCCAAGCCCAAATAATCTAATACTTGGCTTGATATGGTTCATTAACTCTCTTTTATATCCGATAATGCAAAAAATAGGCTTATGCACAATCAACAGTTAAGTGCATGATTTAGAATAATTAATGAAGCAATCAATAAAGCAATAAATGAAAGAAACAAATATTGGATCAACAAAAATAACGCACAGATATATAATGATTCAGTTAGGGTGACTTACTCTACGTTGAAAATGGCAACGGTGGCTGGTGGTTTTTATTGATGAAATGGTAAGGGGGAGAGAGAAAGAAGGTATGCTCTTGGTAGCTATGAGAGAGATAGTTATACAAGGTGTGTAGAGAGTTTACAATTTATAAGAATAGAGCCTTGGTTGAGGCGGTGACGTGATGGATAGGTTACTAGCTTTTTATAACTACAACTAGGATAGGTACAATTAAAAATAGTCTTGATTTTCGAGAGCTGCTATTCCGATGATTACTCCTCATGTGCGCTAATCTTCTTGGATCCATTGTACTTTAGGTTTGAACCAAATCTATTAACTGAGCCTGACCCAATTGAATCTGGGCTCATCATTTGCCCCCCATGCCCCAAGCCCCCATTGCTTGCGAGGGGATTGAGGGCATGCGTGAGCTCCAAATAGGCAAAAGATTTCTTCTTTTGCACGATGACTTCTTCATTCATCTGCAAAATTTATTCCCTTATTTGGCAACACCGCATCTACCGCTTTGTTAACTATCAACCCTGTGTTAGGTTCTGCACTACACTTGGACTCCCTTTTTATCTAGAGCACCAACCCTTAGGATCTTAAAGAACATTCCCATCTTTTCCCAAAACATCTCCTTTGGAACTAGGGCTTAGAAACACCCTTCTCCTCATTACTCCATAATCCATTAAGAGAGAGGCTTAGGAATATGATTGGGAAAGAGATCTCAACGCCAAGGGGAAACACGGAGGAACCCATGATCGGCACCATTGGTTCCTCCGTATTCAAGTAGATCGGTGGCCAAGGAGGCGATGGAGCTAGCCCTGCCAGTGCAGGAAGGCTGGGGAACACCCATGGAGCGGCTAACAACGGTGCATTTGGCGATGTCACAAGAGGCAACGAAGAGGGCGACGCCACAAGGGGCATCGAAGGCGGTGCCCATGGTGCAATCTACAACACCACAACTAATCAAAGCGGTGCCCATGGTGCGATTGGATACACCTCAAGGGCTGGAAATGTATGAGGTGACGTTGGTGAGTTGGGCTACGCCCCATATGGTTTTGGCGATGCCGCTGGCTTGACAGGCGACACCCCTAACTCGGTTGACCTGGGTGATGCCCCTAGTATGCCACATATCATCGACTGCTGATTGGGTGCGAATAGCGACGCCTTCAGCAACATTGGAGCAGGCTTGGGCTTGGGCGACGTCGAATCTGCCTCCAAGGGTTTGGGCAATGTCAGGTCAGCTGCAAAGTCCTCAGGATCGACCAAAGCAGGCGACACTGGCGATGGGCGAAGCTTGAGCGACGTCATTCAAGGCAACATCGATGGAAGTCTTGGGGTCAATGCCTGGGTCGCAGGCTAGCCTTGGCATCTAGGCGACACTTGCAGATGCAGTGGCAGGCTGGGCGATGCCTTGCAGGCGCAAAGGTGATGCCCGACAACGTCGACAGGTGTTGGGCGTCGCCTTGGGCAACTGGCGCTAGTGCTAGGCGTGGACACTAAGGATATGGGCAACGCATTTGGAGTAGGAGGCGACGTCAAGGCCAGTTGGGCGGTGCCCTGAGGTGACGCTGGTTGACACAGGGGGACGCCATGGTTGGTTTGGGTGACGCCAGGGAGGCCTGGGAGAAGTCAAGAGAAGGGAGTGCGTACTGGGCGCCGACCGGAGTATCAAAAATCCATGAAAAAATGGGAAAACTTTAAATGGCTGTAACTTTTCCCTTAGTTGTCCGTTTGAGGCAATTTGTTTTTGAATTTGGGTATTTTTTTCAAGATCTATGACATACAAATGCTGAAGGTGGTTTGGGCACCAAATTTCTCTANGGAGTATCAAAAATCCATGAAAAAATGGGAAAACTTTAAATGGCTGTAACTTTTCCCTTAGTTGTCCGTTTGAGGCAATTTGTTTTTGAATTTGGGTATTTTTTTCGAGATCTATGACATATGCTGAAAGTGGTTTGGGCACCAAATTTCTCAAAAAAATGCTTCTTTCTCACAGAATTTGAGTTTTTAACACAAATTAGTAAAATCGATGACGGTGGAAAGTTGCGCTCTAGCAAGTAGTTGTCAGGCATTCATGGGTGGGTTAGCGTCNTAACACAAATTAGTAAAATCGATGACGGTGGAAAGTTGCGCTCTAGCAAGTAGTTGTAAGGCATTCATGGGTGGGTTAGCATTCTGGGTTTTGCCAGAGGGAGACTATGATGGCTTTCAGTTAGGTAGGAGGCAAAACTGCTTTCTCCAATCCTACTTTCACCTTAATGTTTTTTCGATGTTGCTTCTTTATATTGACCTTGTCTCTGATTACAGGCGCCCTTGTTGATAGAGTGATGGTGAAGGCTCTCGATGTTTCTAGGGCGACGCCTTCCCCTCTTTCCAAGAGGACAAGGTTTGATGTCGCTAGTGCTTTTTGGCCGACGTCCAATAACAAGGTTGCTTCCCGGGAGTGGAATCCGTTGGTGCCCCCACTCCTTCCCAATCTATGACTCCTGTGTGTACTGGGGCTAGCCCTTTTACCGCTGTGAGAGTTGAGAATCTAGTGCAGTCTTTTATGGGGACTGTAGCTCCACATAGCTGCCCTCCTTGTGTAGTCTTCTACGGTTGTATCTCGAGGTCCAAAGGGAATTATCAATACCGCGATTGAGGGGTTTTTCATGGTATGTTTTTTTTTCTCAACTTTGATTTTGTAGCCGCCTCATTTTCTTCATGTTTTGCTTTTTGAATGCTTGTAGATGACTGCCACTTTGCCCTACCTTTTTTTAAGAACGATCAAGCTTGGAAAGACATTCAATGTTCTAACAAAAGAGAGGCAAGCACAAAAGGTTGTTGAGGAGCATTTGAGGTTGGCTTATGAGAGAGTAATACCTCTTGAGGCCAAGCTTTTGGCGACTCGTGGGAGAGGCTCTAAGTTGGGGATTGAGGTNATGACTGCCACTTTGCCCTACCTTTTTTTAAGAACGATCAAGCTTGGAAAGACATTCAGAGTTCTGACAAAAGAGAGGCAAGCACAAAAGGTTGTTGAGGAGCATTTGAGGTTGGCTTATGAGAGAGTAATACCTCTTGAGGTCAAGCTTTTGGCGACTCGTGGGAGAGGCTCTAAGTTGGGGATTGAGGTTGTTTGAGAGCAGAGGTAGGATTAGATCGAACTTTCTAGCAACTCGCAAGAGAGTGCGAAGCTGGAGACATAAACTGCTTAGGATTAGAGATAGGATTAGGCTGAGCTTTCTGGCGACTCGCGAAAGAGTGTGAAGCTGGAGACATAAACTTCTTGGGAGTAGAGATAGGATTAGGCCGACCTTTCTAACGACTTGCGAAAGAGTGCAAAGTTGGAGACATAAACTGCTTGGGAGCAAATGTAGGATTAGGCCAAGCTTTTTGGCAACTCGTGAGAGAGCGCGAAGCTGAAGACTGATAAAGAGACAGTCTGCATGAGAGTAGATTCAGCGTTGCAAATGTCCCATGAGAGGGTCGCAGAAGCTAAGACCAAGCTACGTATAACTCAGAAGAAGGTCATCGTGGCAGAGGTGACCTGCGAGTAGCTTGTGAGAGAGCCACTAGGGCAGAGGCTCATTCTATTGAGATGGAGATGAGGAATGAGGTTGCTAAGAGTGTCATTGCAGGTGCCTTTATTGATGGTTATGAGAAGCTTAGTAGCTTTCCCTAGTATTGAATTCTCTGGCTTCGTCTCATATGAGGCATTAGGAGCAGATGGTGACGACTTTCATCTTTTTGTCTACTTTATTATTAGGTCATGTTCTGACTTTCGTAAGCTGTTTACAAACTTTATAAAATGAAAGCAAGACAGTTCTGAACACAATAACTTAGCAAAGTTTTATTTCATAAAATAATAAATAACAAAATAAATCAATTGAAACAATAAAAGACAAATAAAATGAGAGCCACCGACTTGTACTTGCTATTGATAATAGCTCTTCAAGTGTTCGACGTCCCATAGGTGGGCCAAGGTTTTCCCATTTCAATGTGCTGTCATACCAAGCACTTCCATCTATAGGGCCTCTTAGGGTTTCTTGATCCTCATAGAAGTTACGTAGCATTCTTTGGCAGAAACTTGGTCTCCTCTACCTTTTCCGATCCTACAAAGAGTTGGAAAATTAAGAACAATGTGATAGGTGAACAACACTACCCTTAGATGTTGAGTGCAAGGCATCCAAGTATGAGGTTGTAGGCAGAGGGGTAGTCTAGCACTATGAAGTTTACCATAATGGTGGAGTTTCTTGGTGATTTACCTACTGTGACTGGCAATGTGATAGAACCCAAAGGATAAGCCTTCTCACCCGAAAATTCGATGAGGGGTGTTCTAATGGGTTGTAGTCTTTCTCTGCCTAGATGAAGGCTATCATAGGCTGGTGCAAATAGGATGTCGGCAGAGCTGCCACTGTCTACCAGAATTCTCTTAACCTGGTAGTTGGCTAACATCATGATTAAGACTAGAGGGTCATTATGGGGTAATTGAATCCCCTAGAGGTCCTTGTTTGAGAATGTGATGACCACTTCTTCCCTATGAAAAGGTGTCTTCGTCGGGCAAGACTCTACCTGTCTGGCTTTTTTGGAGTGGGCTTTTCTGGCAGAGTTGGATTCGCCTTCTCCTCCTAGCCTTCCGAAGATCATTGGAATTTCTCTGCAGGATTATTGGCATTCTCTGTCATCTTGTTCCCGACTAGGTGGTGAGGTTTGTTCTCTTCCAGCAATGTACTGCCGTAACTAGCCATACTGTATGAGCTCTTTGATCTGTCTCTTAAGCTCATGGCAATCATCAGTGTCATGGTCACGGTCGCAGTGGAAGCGGTATTTGTTTGAATTTCTTCGGTTCGGGGTGGACTTCATTTTCCCTAGCCATTGCAGAGTAGGGTCGTTCTGTATTTGGAATAGGATATGCTCTACCGAAACATTAAGCGGCGTAAAGGCTTACTGTTCTCTCAAAGGTGGGAGACCAAGGCGGTTTTTGACAAAGACTCTCTTTGTCTTATTCTTATTGTTCTCTACTTCTCTCCTGTCTTCGTGAGTATCTTTTATTTTCTCACCCCCACGGGAGGACTCACCTTGTCAGGCTTTGGTGACGTCCTCGGCATTCATATACTTTTGTGCCCTTGACAGTAGTTCGAGCATGCTGGAGGGCAGCTCTTTTAGGACAGAAAACATGAAGCTTAAGGAGCACAGTCCCGCAATAAAGGTAGTCATGGTTACCTTGTAGTCTGGCTCCTCGATCTAGAGAGCCTCCTCATTAAAACGAGTGAGGTAGTTCCTAAGACTTTCATCCCGATCTTGCTTGATGGTGAGCAGGTGGGTAACCGATTTCTGGTGTCGGCGTTCCCAAATGAAGTGGGAGACAAAAGATTTGCTCAACTCTGTAAAGGAATGGATGGAAGAAGACTTGAGCTTCGCAAACCATTGTTGTGTGGATCCTTTAAGGGTGGTAGAGAAGGCTCTACACATAATCTCATCAAGTACGTTGTGGAGCTACATGATAGATTTGTATGTGTCGAGATGATCAAGGGGTCATTGATGTCATCAAAGATCTTGATGGCAAGCATCTTGAACTTTGAGGGCAAAGGGTGGTTGACAACATCCGCTACAAACGAAGTGTCAATATGCCTTAACAAATAATCTATCGTCTCTGGCGCTTGTGCTTTGATGGAGTTGAGGGCATCGCCAAGCTAGTTTTGCACCTCCCTAATCTTCTCGTCCCATTGGTTAGGGACGTCCTCCATTGGATCATTATACTAGCTCTCGTGATCCGCATACTAGTTCTCTCCCTCATCCTCCTGCCCAAGATGGTCGGTCGTGTGTGGAGTAGGTACATGAGGAGGGAAAACATGTGAGGCACCTACGCGTAGTGAAGGGACTCCCTAGCGAGGGGTGTCCTGGCGTGATGTGCCACGATGGGGAGCACCTTGGCGCCCAGAGTAGGGAGGCTGTGGCACCTCTCCAATTGGAGGGAGTCTTGTTCCCACAGGCTGAGGGGGGGCACCTCCTAAGGTGAGCATCACCTGGATGATTTGCTGATTTTGAGTTACCAACAACTGCATGGTCTTCAAAAGTTGTTGCCTGACCACAGGAGTTGCTGCAATGAATGGTTCAGCATGTGCAGGCAAAGGCGGAGCCTCCTCCTGGCGGGTTAGGTTGTTGTCCTCCGATTGTTGATTCATCGACCTGATTGTAATTATCATAGATTTGAAAGAGAATAACAAGGTAGTAGAAAATTCAAACGTTTCTCACAGACAATACCAAACAGATGATGCTCAAAATAAACTTATACACAATCAACAGTCGAGTGTATGATTCAGAATAATTAATGAAGCAATTAATGAAAGAGACAAATATTGGATCAACACACAGATGTAT